CTCTGAAAAAAAAAACCATGGATCCTATAACACTCTCAAAGTACCTAGCAACCGCAGCATTCCAACGTGTTTAACTTCCTGAGCTGACAAGACTAAGCTCCATTCCACCCCATCGTGCGTCATCTCATAGCAAAGGTGCCTGAGCATCGATCCAACCATCTTGCCCAGAGGGTGGTGACGATGTCTCGGTCTCGCCGATCTTGGATCGGCTCAAAACCGCCGGCCGTTCGAATTCAAAGGTTATCCGCACTAGGTATGCCCGGGGTTGTCCGGGGGTCTATGCAATAATATAATTGGCAGAGAATCTTTGAAGAGTTTGTCGTAGGAATTATATCTGATCATTTGGCCTCTACTTAGTGAACTGAAGTGAAAGTAGCAGTTCTTCAAATTGGAGGCTCTATACAACTTCTCCCTAATGTACCAGACCCATTGCATCGTTCTTCTTCACCGATCCGTCCGCTCCATCAACGTCACTCATGTCTCCATCGGCAGTGGTGTATCAGGGATGGTAACATCCAAGCGGGCCGCAAGTTGGCCGCAGAGCTCATGACGCACATTAGCTTGCGTCAAGGACCACTGTTTGCTGCCTGAGCCTTGCATTTGCATGTAGTTACATGTTGCGTTGCAGTGCGGGGTCGTCCTAGAATAAATATCAGGGTATGAAGTTCCCAAGAAATTGTCATAAAATAGGGACGGTGTGCAGAGCTTGACAAGATTCTAAGAAACTCGGGACGACGGGAAAGAAATCATCGATATGTGACTTCTCGCGAACAGCCACCACTGTACGTTTCTTTGCCGAGTATATCCTGTTTTAGACTGAATATAAGCACATTTTATCCTTTAGGTGATCTGTGCATAGACCGGACAGTGTCCTTCATGTTGAAAAGAGACCGGATGAATGGGTTTGTAACTGGGAATTCCCCATTTCAGTCCTATACGACTCATGACAAAGCTCTAAATGGGTTCACATAATAAACGAACGCTTAGAAGGATTAAAACAAATTGTAGCTGACGGGTAGTTTGTACTCAAAATAAATTTGCATCACCTCATAGACAATACCTCTTACATGGCGGCTTAAAGAACAGCATGACAACTCACACGAAAAAGACGTAAACTTCGGTCTTCCGAGCTCTTCTCTCATCATAAGATACTCTACTTAGGAAACATACCTCTCTTGAGCTTAGACCCATTCAAAATCGAGATTTATTAATGGAGAGCTGCTCTCATGTGCAGATGCTCAGCGAACGCATCCACCTTATCAGCAGTGCGTTAAAGTGGTGGTGTATGGTGGAGTGCTCTGATTCCATGAGATTGACCTTTTCAAGATAAGACATAGACCTTTCCAATTATGCATGATCCTTCCGGAGAGGAGACAAAAGTGGTCACTGTAGACCCGAAGTCAAAGACAGAGAGTGTTGGGCCCTCAACTTGGACGCCGAGCCTCATGCAGCTGCACCATGGTGAATCAGGCCAATTCACGGTGAAATTGCCCGCCAGCGACAGGGGATAAAGAGCAACACTGCATCCTCACCACCATCATCACCGGTGCATCGTGGCCCCGATTTGTCCTGCTCATTGGCCCCTCAACCTCTTAATGCCCCGCGCCGACAAGCCCACAGCTGCTTGTGGTCCCGCATGACGCACATACACACATCCCAGTTGATCTTGCCGCTTCAAGCAGCTCGCCAGGCCGCCGCCCACGTCTCATTCTCGCTAGGCAGGCCAGTCTCCTCCCGCGTGCTGCTATATAAGACCTCAGTGACGCGGCGGCAGGCGACGTGTCGTCGCACCTGGTCCCGAGCTGCTGCTGCTGCTGATAAATTTCACGTCCGCGCATACCACCCCGCCGCCGCTGCAACTCCCAAGCTCCAATTGCGCCCACCACCGCAGACCCAGATCCGCAGTGTTTCGGGACTCGCTGTCGCTACCATGGCCGAACGCATTGATCTCGGGGCTCTTGTTCCCAAGAACTCGAACCAGGACTCGGTCGAGTCCCGCGTTGCTGCCATACTCGACCCCGCGCTCAACGGCAGCGGCTCAGCCGACGACGTGGTCAATGGCATATCCAACCTCTACCGCTCAGGCTACAACACCGATGAGAAGGCCGAGGATTTCCTCTGGGCCTTCTGGACCTTTTATATCGAGGCTGTGAAGAAGGTCTCCGTCCAAGATTCGAGACTACAGCTCCTGGTCCTGATTGTGGAGAGGCTCAAGGCCCGGTCAGACGGTTCCGTCGAGATCTGGGGCAAGGAGACCAAAGTATGGGCCGACCTCCCGATGCTGGGGCCCTGTGCGAGAGAAGCATGGAACTGTAGGTGCAATCTTGGCCTTTCTTTACTAGCGAGTCGTGCGACTAACTCGGCTGCAAGTCACTCCCAAATTCGATGGCAGCGACAAGGACAATGCCACCGTCTCTTCTTGGATCTCTCTCAACTCCTTCGCAGCCCGTCTCCTGGGCTCCTCTATCACCTCCGGGACGGAGTTTGCCATTTGGGCGTTGCGCGACGGTCTCGAGGAGGAGCACGACTCGTCAGCCGCTCTGAATGGCCACATCGCCGTCACACACGAGTGGGTCGTGAACGCAGGCCAGGTGTTACGGAACGGCGTCGCGAAGAACCAGGAGCTGGACGACACTCAGAAGAGGACGCTCAAGGGCGGCAAGCTCTTCAGCGGGGAGCCAGGGTTGAACAAGGAGCGCTGGACGTTCTGGCAACAGAGAGTGGAGGAGTTGAGCAGCAAGACTGACAACGAGGACGCCAAAACCAAGGCCCTGAAGACTCTGGAAACAATCAAGACCCTGGGGGCGTAAAAGTACGATGCGGTATGAATATTATGATAAACGATGCTCATGCTTTCCTCCTTCCCATGTAACTCTCCCCTTTGTAGGGGTCGTGTAAATATCAGGCGTAGAATTCCCTTTCCGGAATAATAGCATCTCTCTCACTCTAAGAACTCCTCGACGCCAATGCATTTCATCACCTCGTATCTTGGGACAACCCGTGCGTCTCATCCGTACAGCATGTCCATATCGTCCTCTTCGTCGTCATCGGCAACGGGGACCTCCTTCTTCTTGCCCATCTCCTCCCGGCACATGGGGCACGTGCCCTTGCTCCTCAGCCACGGTCCCACGCACTCCAGGTCGAACTGATGCCTCCCCTTGCACGGCAGCTCCACCACCAGGCAGTACTCGTCCTCGAGGTAGGGCACCTTGCAGATGGCGCAGTCCTCGTCCTTGTCGAGCTTCTTCCTGTTCACACGGTCCAGCGTGTCCACGAACTCCTGGCTCACGCCCTTGAGCCTCGAGGGGGGGTCGTTGATGTCGTCCTCGAGGCTCGAGATGAGCTGCTCCAGGAAGTCGCGGTTGTCCGTGGTGGGGGCCGTGTTGTGCAGGGTGAGCAGCTGCTCCTGGAGGAGGCGGAAGAGGGCGGCCGCGTCGACGGGGGTGGGCGTCGCATGAGGGTTCTGCTGGGGAGTCTCGGTGCCGGCGGGGGAGCCGATCTGGTTGAGGAGGGAGAAGAAGGACGCCATGTCGACGCGGCGGGAGCGGCGGGGTTCGGAGAAGCTCACTCCATGTTCAACTGTTTGTTTGAGTTAGCCGGCTTGCAGAAGGCAGTGGTAGGCGAGGAGCGGCCTGGGCGAAGAACATACCCTCGTACTGTGTGGTCATGGCGGCTGTAGGAAGAGTAGTTGGCGAGGACGGAGGAAATTGAGGAAAATAGCGAATTAATTGGTAGAATCCGATGTGGTGTAAACTCCGGTATCAGGGTAGAGCTCAATACTGAGAGAAAATATAACAACAATCGAGGGTATGGGTTCTTATGGAAGGTGTTGAGTGAAGCAGGCAGAGAGCTGTCGCAAGCTTCAGGCCTGCCTCGGGCCACCCCACCATAAAGTTATATCATCAGCTAAGCTGCCTGTGGCGGGGTGTCGACTGGCCCTGCCTACACTCACCCACTACCCTGTAGCAGGTAATGAACAGAAGCCGAAATCTCGATTTCACTTTGTTTAAAAGACTTTACATTTTCAAATAGTGTGCGTTAGGTAGGTAGATTGGATTTTTGCCCTCTCTGCCTATGGTCAATCCCAATAATTGTATACAAAGTTACGATTGGAGTAAGGCTAACCATTTGGGCTTACACTTGATTTACATAGAATCAGCGAGGTTCAGTATATGTGGACATCAGGCAACAAAAACTTCCAAATCAAATTGCTACCAACAACACTAACGCTTTTTTTCCAAGTTTTTAACACATTTGACAAAATCCAAAGCAGAAAATCAAATACGTTTAACACCCCCAGACTTGTACGGGCGCACCTGTTCCTTGCGCGGTAGATGCCCCAGCTTCTCCCAACAACTTCGGCCGGCCCTGGACTCCAGATGCCTCTTGATATAAGAAACCTTGGAGAACTTCTCTCCACAATTTCTGCACTGGCGCCGGGGGTCGTATTTTGCCATATTCTGCTCGGCCCATCGGGTGTGATGGCGGAAACAATGCTCTCGACAACTACGAAGGTCGCAGTATCGCTTGGAACAACAGGGGCATCTGATCTTTAGTTTATGGCGTTTCTGGTGCCGCCTGTGCAAGGGAGGTGTAAGCTGGCTGGTAAAATATGTTACTTTGGGTGTGAGTTTGAACTGCACTTACTTCAACTGGTCGCCTTCCTCATATTCCTTCTTGCAGCACCACTGATAACCCGGCCGAGGAATTTCTGGGTTGTATAATTTTGGTTAGCTCCCAGCGGGACATAGCAGTTTGAGAAGCTCAATCTTACGTTGAGGGAGGTTCTGAGGGGAAGATCTATCTTCACCTATACCACTAGTCGAAGTGTCGCTAAAATCATCACTGCTAAAATAGGAACCATTAAGAGAAACACTAGGAAATGAAAAGTTGGAAGGAGTCATCACGAAAGCCGCAAAGTCCCCCGGGGGTCCATAAGAGAGTTCAACCGGGCCAGAGCCCTCGAGGGAATGGCCGGAAACATCTTCTTGATTCTCCGACTAAACCATCGAACCTGGACCGCGGGTGGGGGACAGGGGGGCTGTGGTGATAAACTCGCTCGGGTGCGCTTTATACGAAGTAATGAGGCTGGAGTCCTCAATACTTCGCGCGAGCTCGTACATTTCATTTTCCTGTTGCGCGATTGAGTTGTCAACTTGTGTAAGCATATTCTCATCAAAGGTTGAGAGTACCATAGCTTCCTCCGGAGTATTACTGCATGGGGAAGCGAAGATGGAACTGTCAGTCAGTGGCGAAGAGTAACCTGGCGGGAACTCTTGTAAGCCTGTGACTGTTAGCAATTGATTGTCGGGACTCAGCTTCAACATCTACCTAAGGCCTCCTCAAAGGGCATGGGTCCGCCGAAATCGAGGCTTGGCCCTGTATCAAACATGGATATGTTCCCTCCATTGGGTATGTGTGAGTAGGAATTGAGAATTAAGGGCGGATTAAAGTCCGAATCAAAGAATATCCCGGGCTCGAAATCTATATCGTCTGGCGAAGAACCCATGGTGATGGTAGGGTCGGAGCTTGTAGCCAAACAAGGGGAACAACCACAAGAGGAGCCTTAAATGAGTCGCGACGAGTATGCGATTGAGACAATGGATGATAAGAAAAAATTAAAAGAAGGGTTATGTCTCAATGAGAAGAGAACGGTTCAGCACGCTGTATTTATAGGCCGAATCTGCCACAGAACAGAACCCCGCTTGACGATGGCAGACATACATTTTCTGACGATTATCACGTCAGTCGAGAATGCATTTGGGCGATTGGGCAGCCATTGAGGGGTAATCGAGGCAGTGTTGGTTCTCACCGAAAATGAAGAGCAAAGTGCACTTTCTCGAGAATGTCCCCAATGAACGTGGGATGGCCGAACTCGTCATCGCAGCTGAGCGCTCGGCGTTGCAATCTCATTGGGTTGGCTTGCATAACTAGGTCGTATTCGCGGGCCTCTCGCAGCAAGATATTATGATATATGATAGGCAGAGAGATAGGAGCTTACTGATCAGCATGTGATGACGGGAGGGAGCCCCGATGCTTTCTGTAAAATGGCATAGCTCATGGATAAGATTCGATCCAGTCTGCCCAAGCTACTCTTTCTCAAAGCTCCTCAGAAATCTTGCGCATAGATAGAAGCAATCTAGAAACAATTGATTGGAAACCATTGAAAGCAAAGATGGGTGTTATACCATGTGCGTTTCTCATCTACCCTCCCTCCACTGTCCTGAGGCTCTGCCTTGAGGTGGAGCAGCTCATTCTTGGACTGAACTGACATAAATGATCTCAAGTGGAAGAAACGATTGCCATGAGGCCTAGGGATATCAAAAAGTTTTACGAACCCATGGTGCTCTTCAAAGCATTGACTATGAGGATGCTGGCCACAGCAACACATAGTGACCTTGAAGAGGATTGGGATCTTAACGACCCAAAGCAATTGTTTGAAGCGTTTGTCAACAAGCTATGCTATGTCTGTGACAACAAAAAAGGTGATGGGGGTGCTACGATAACCTCTTTTGTCGTATTACAACTTGATGATGTTGACACCAAACAATATGTCTTTGCTTGCAATCAGCAGACCAATAGCCAACTACAAGCCACGGAAGGCTTTGTAAAGCAGCTATTGGAGCTCATTGGCAAAAATGCAAGACGTAAGGTTTTGCTTCATCTTGTTCTTTGGAACAATAGGAAGAGAATCCGCCTGTTCTTCCGAGACCTTGTAAGACAGGCTTCAACATGCTTGACAAGGTGTTTAAATGATGTTGAGTTGGAAAAACGTAAGAAACAGAGGCTATTCCCATGCAAAAGGATGAGAATTTCATGCTGACAGAATTCTGGTTCAATAGGGGGTTCGGTGCAAGAATTATTAAACGACATGATTGCAGTGCTGCCAGACGATGGACAGATATTGGCAGACGATAAAGCTGATTGTGAGTTTGTTTAGTCTGCGTGGTTTGGAGTCTTGACTCGTACAAGCTGACAGTTTCTCTCGGCAAGACCTATCTGGCTGCGATAGAATGATGAAGGCGTTGGGCAAATTTGAGCAGCAGTCACCGACCATCGAAACTATCACTCAAATGTCTCGAGACATTCGGGCAAGGGGTCACAACGCATCAAACGACTGCTGGCCGGAGATGCTACATGCGGTGAAACGCATTTTGGCATACCAATTTTCAATAGAGTTCTTAAAAGAAGCTCACGCGGCGTTCCCAGAACTTTTTGAAGACTTCGAGATTTCCTTCCTACCGTCAAGTACCCCTCTCACTAAGAGAGAAATCTGCCGAGTCAAGAGTTACCAGGCAGAAGGGATTGTCAACAGGATGACAAGCAATGCGGAGTACCATGAAAAGTTCAAACAACTTGTGAACGACCTCCAGGTGTTTGATCTGGATCAAAGAATACAGGATGAGTACGAGAAGGCTAGCTTCCGGCCCTTTGTTCACTCAGAAGCCCACCTCCATGGCTGGCTGGGAAACACGCCGGGGGGATTCTCTGAGTCGCGGTTCTTCCGAGGCTGGAGGTACATTGGGAGCAGCAAGCCGACCTGCAAACTCTGCCATTACTACTTCCAAGAGCATGGATCGGGCGTCGGCCACCGAATCTGCCACTCGAATCTTTACCCGTGTTGGCGGCTCCCAGACGTTCCTGTTTCAGCCGGGACAGCAGGTGGACAAGATCGTCGAGCGATTTATTACCGAATCATTGACAGAGTACGCAATGACGCCTTCGACATTATAGGACAGAAGGCCTCGCCAAAATATAGAAAGCATGATTCGAATACATTCTCTGCAAGAATGACGTTTGTGGACGATGTTTCGACCATCGTATCGAATGTGGACGATGTTTCATCCCTGTTTGGGGATCTTGATATCAATGAATAGTCTGAAGGTTGGATATCTATCATTGATGGCTTGTTCCTTTTTCATATCTCAATTAAATTCGACTAGGTATACGGTTTGCGAATATTCAAGGTAGTTCTAATTGATTTGTTCCCATGGAATATGAGCTTCTTAGCTCACTCATTGCCTCTCCTATTCTTCACTCCAAATTGAATAATCCCTCCCATATCAGTGTATTGCGGAAAGAGAAGTTTTGGGAATAGAATGGAGGGATTCACTTGCCTACCTATCTTGGGCATCTTGGTAGTGCATAATTGGGCAGCTATTGCGTATGGAGGTTGCTGCCTTTGAGCATGTGACATTCCATCATTTTAGAGCACTGCAACCATGTCTCAATCTCATTTCACCATTACCAAACATCACCAAATTGCAAACCCCACAGACCAGCATTTTCTCAACCAACACACATCACCCAGGCCAAGATATCAATCAACCAGACATCAACCAGACTGAAAAGAATATAAAATGGCGGCCCCCATCTCCGTCGCAGTCTTTGGTTCCACCGGCCTCACCGGATCCCACATCCTCTCCTCCCTCCTCGCGGCAGAGAGCACCTGGAACCCAGTCCACACCATCTCGCGCCGCGCGCCCAAGGCTCAGGGCCCAAACCTCAACGCCGTCGTCGAGGCCGACACGGAGAAGTGGTCCGCCTCCCTCAAGAGCCTCCCGGCCACCCCCTCCGTCGTCGTCTCCGCCCTGGGCACCACGCGCGCGGCCGCCGGCGGCATCCAGCAGCAGTGGAAGATCGACCACGACCTCAACGTCGAGCTCGCCAAGACGGCCAAGGAGGCCGGCGTCAAGACGTTCGTCTTCATCAGCTCCGCCGGCACCCGCGGCCTGCTGTCAAACTACGTCCCCTACTCCCAGATGAAGGTCGGGGTCGAGGACGCCGTCAAGGGCCTCGAGTTTGACCACAGCATCATCGTCAGGCCGGGCATGCTCCTCGGCGCCCGCGAGGAGCAGAGGTTCGTGGAGAAGGGCGCCCAGAGCATCGTCAGTGGCCTCGGGCTCGTCCACAAAGGCCTGAAGAATGCTCTTGGGCAGGATGTCGATGTCATCGCGAGGGCGACGACCAAGGCGATCAAGCTGGCTAATGAGGGCAAAGCCCCGAGTAAGCACTGGGTGCTTGAGGGAGCTGATATTCTGAAGCTCGGTGCAGAGGAGTGAGAGGGAGGTTTTTCAGATTTGGAGGAGGTGATGGCTGCTGATGAGCATTTATGGATGCCGGACTTATATCATGGGGACACTCGTTCATTTGCTCATCACATGCCGTATACTTGTCTGCTTGTTCTTGCACACGCCCATACCCATTAGTTATTGTTTGCGTTTGATAATGATAGTATAACCAAATTGAATCTCTGTCTTTATGCCTGAGTCGGAATGGTGAGACCATCCGTACCTACACTTCACGTTGAGACATGAAGCTCTGAACTGTCATACATCATTACCTCCGAAGACCTTGGTGAAACAGTGCAAAACTATGTATTACTTCGCGCAAGGCAGTATTATAGCTTGTACGAGGTTGATTAACCCTTGTGTAGTTACTACCTATGATCCAATGACAAATGATCTAGATTCGCTTTGGGAAACTGGCCCAGGTGGAATATAGCTCGCCAATGTAAGAGTGAAAGCCCAGGCGGCTACTACCTAGGTAGGTACATACATGTATGTAATCACCTGCGTTACCCCCAGCGCTATAACTGCCCTGGCCCTGAATAGCGGCCCCTCCCTCTGCTGCCCCTCTGTCTTACTTGACCCCTCCACTAAGTTAACGACTATCTCTCTATCGCAATTGAACCCCACCATTTGCTGATAAACCTAGGCGGAACGCTCTAGATACCTCGCACAAGGCAGTGAGCCGAAATCCGAGCAATTGCTCGCCCATCTCGTTCCACAGACCGCCAGCCTCACCTCCTTGTATCACACTCCAGCTCGTCCCTTGTGTTCCCGTTCAGAGGCCTCTCCCCGAGCCAAAACCTAACTGCGAGCCTTATTTCCCCCGGGGGACCGAACCTCCGCCAGTGACTCATCACCTTCCGCTCACACGGGGCTTATATATGTATATACATCCACTCACTCATCGCCGCACCGGAAACTCACATACAACTAACACAGCTCAAAAAACCAGAGCCACACGCCGCCATGGCTGGACGCCCGAGCATTGTCGGCGATCAGGCCGGCCCCGAAGCCCCGTATCCGCTCCAGATGGAGGGCAAGGTCATCTCGGGCTTCGGCCGCGGGTCCAAAGAGGTGAGTGAGAAAGACAGCCTCACTTCCCCTTCCCACCCACTCTCCTCAACACAACACCCCCTTTTCCACGCATCATGTCTCACCCTCTGTCCTACCCCACCATTATGATGTGAGGGGCGCCCATCCATAACCTCTCGGTTCTTTGCATTAACGCAAAACCACCAGCTTGGGATCCCCACCGCCAACCTCCCGGTTGACGCCGCCATCACCCCCTGGATCTCCTCCACCGCCTCGGGGGTCTACTTTGGCTACGCCTCCCTGGACCTGGAGGGGAAGCCGGGAGCGCAACTGAGCGTCTACCCCATGGTCATGTCCATCGGGTACAACCCCTTCTACAAGAACACGGTCCGCAGCGCAGAGGTGCACATCCTCCACAAGTTCGCGGGCGACTTTTACGGCGCCCACATGCGCCTGCTCATCCTGGGCTTCATCCGGGAGGAGAAGGACTACAAGAGCCTCGACGCCCTGATCGAGGATATCAACTTTGACTGCGAGGTCACGCGCAGTTCGCTGGCCAGGGAGGCGTGGGCGCCTAAAAAGGGACTTGTCGTGGATGGTCCCGATGTTGATGGGAAGCTCGATGCCGAGTGGTTGATTAAGCCGTTATAGACAGGGGACAGCTTTGGATGAAAGAGCCAGGATATAGGATATTAGATGAATCTAGAGCAAGCGGGAATAGCAGGCAGCGAGGGATAAAAGCTACAATCAGGGGCACGGGAGGGAAAAGGGCGCAAAGCAATCGGAAATCGTATTCCTTTGTCAATCAACTCAAACGAGGCTGCTATTTGCAACGCCTCCCTATGGACCTTGAAGGTGTCCCTATCCTCCAGTACTATCCCAAGCACTTATGTAGTTGCCTGTTATCTTTTCAAAAGTTATTCAACTTGCAGCCCATCCCTATCTTGCGTAAGACGAGTGCGCAATTTATTCATATTTCGCTTGAAGACGGAAAATCCCTGTCTCGACTTGGCTTGAAGCAACGCTTATATCTCCAGAATAAAGCTTCACTATGGAAATTGCGAAAAAGCTTCCAAATCATGTTTCATATCGTATCCAATAGCAGCCATTACACGGCCAATTGCTGTACCTCTTGGTTGGGGTAATATCTCGGCAAGAACTAATTCAGTTGTTAATATGGTTCTTGATTTGTGGGGGGCAAACGAAATAGGGAGAGGAGTAACTCGTTTTACTTACGTTGATGATGATCATCATAGGAATATCAAACACATCGCGCTTGATAGTCCAGCAACATGTGCAGTTGACCTTGCCATCTTGTTCAATTCTTGATATTCCGTGTTCGCCGTCGATTGTTGTGACCCTATTGCTGAGCATGCCAAGTCGGGGATCCTTCTGCGGGCCTTCCTTGACAATGGACTGTTCTTGTGTCCTGTACTTGAGCAAGCGGCAGCTTCTTTGGACCTTGCCTCGGGAGTCTTCGAATGCCAAAAGCGAGTAATCATTGTAGAACTCCACGATGCTGTCATCATCAAGCAGCTCTGCCAAAAATACGGGTTGAGGTCTACCCGAACTGTTCTCGCCGTTGCCATTGTTTTGCTGGCCGGCATCGTTTTCTGGAGTGGAGGAGCCATTGGTGACTGGGTTCGCCGGCACGTACTTGTTGGGCTCCTTGCCCAGCAAAACGTCCTTGGTCCAGCCAGTGAGCGCGGTGAATTCCTTGTTTACGGCGGCAACCTCTCCGGACCGACGGCAGACAATGGTCGGGGCACAGCAATGCTGCAAGAAATCATCGAATTCGACCAGGGTTCGTTGGAAGCACTTCTCCATGAAGATGAGGTCCTCACGAGTCAGATCCTTTGTAGAAGCAATAAACGATGGTCGAATCTCGCCGAGTGCCCTGGCAATACGTAGCAGCTTAGGGAGGGGGAGGCGCTTGCGCAGGACAGACGTCATATTGTGGAAGCCAGTTGTGTAAGGATATGGTTCCTTGACACTTTCGTAAATGGATGCCGCATCACGATGGCGTTTGCCCAAGATTGTCTGGCTGGATTTGTTTCCTTTCGGCTTCATACGATGAGCCGCCGACACCATGTTGATGTTGGCCAAATGTGCTGGTGTTGGTGACCCATCGCCCACGCCGCCAGGGGCCTGTGGGCTTGCTGTGGTCTCCGTGCTTGGACTAGCAAGGCTGGTAGGCCCAGCAGCAATCGCGTAGGCATGAGGCAGGCCGTGCTGGAGGTTTCCTTGGTTGTAGATGGTCGCGTTCTGGTCAGCACCCGCGAAGTCTCCACCCATCAATCCATCATAGGTGGGGTTCGACCCATTCCCAAAAACCGCAGCGTACTCATTTGTAGGCGTCTGCGATAGAGAATTCTCGCGAGGAGGAGTCTCGGCACCTAGACCCATCTTGTTGAGGATACCAAACTCCCAACCCGCATACTGGCTGCCAAAATTGAGACCCTCTAGGTCAAAGTTGTACAGCGCAGGGTTGCTAGGGTCAAAGAGCGCATTGAAATCCATCGTGTTGGTCGCCATTAGACCCTCTATTGGCGCATTACTATTGGGCGCCCCAGGGAAGGTTGCTGTCGCTGGTGAGGCTTGAGGCCCAAATGGGAAACCATCAGACATGCCTACGGATGTTTGCGTCCCGGTTGGATACACGGGGAAAGTCGACCCGCTGGCCTGAGAAAAGAAGGTACCGCTGGCGGCCCCCGTTGACATGGCGTTATCTGAATTGCTCGAGTTCTGGCGCGGGTTTGGTGGTCGGGTGGAAGTCGTGCTAGGATTGTAGGTAGGACCTAGGACTGGCCTGAGAGCCTCTGGCGGGGCATCGTGGAGGTATTTGGCTTTCTTGCGAACGCCATCCTGGCAAGCATCACCAAGTCCACGCTTGATGCATCTTTGGCACGGTCTTTCATCTCCTATACCTCGCTCTCAGTATCGCTCAAGACAGAATGACTGATGTGAGGAAATGTGGGGTTGTGGAAAGTGAACTCAAGAGGCTGGGTAAAATGAAAGTAGGGAAGAGGGGTTTCTTGACAGCCCATGGAAACTTACCACAGGTGAGATGGGCACGTTGACAAGCAAAGCATGCCCGCCTTGCCTTCTTGCGCCTGGGTCTCGAAGGATCTTTAGGATCATACTTCTTCTTGACCGCACCGTTGCTATCGGTGTTGCTACTCTCCGCCATCTTGTCGTCGTCTCTGTTGTAGATCTCAGACTCGTCCTCGTTCTCAGACATGGGATCTGAGATCTCAGTAAGGTGGTCATCTATCCCTGAAGGCATCTTGCCGTCGGGTTTTTATAGTTCTCAAGGCGACTGTCTGACCGAGCGGGAAGAGCCCAACCTGATAACGCAACCAGCTAAAAGAGGGCCTGGATCCCTGTCAGTCCTGCTGTGCTCCCAATCTCAATCTATTTTGCACGACGGCGGCGGCGATGTCGTCGCTATCCCCAGGATTGTGCGAGGTACCTCCGCACCCCCTCCAACAGCTTTGGGGACGCTACACGAGGTGCGCCTCTGTAACACTGCAGAGCAAGGATTGTGGGACCCTGATATGGCAACCTCGACGCAGGTCCTGGATGAGTGCCCAATGCGGCCTTGAGACGCCCCGGAGCATACGGTGTGGAATTGAGGACTCAGATTTGGTCGCTAGGGGTGCCTCTTTTCGCTGATCGTCTCGAGCTGCAGAGCGGCTGAGCGCTCTCGGTAAGCGACGCAATAAAACGTATGTGACAAAGTGCAGCTTGCTGTCGGCGGCCGTGGCCTGGACAGGGGTGGCGGACGGCGACGCGGGCAAGATCAGCCTCTGCCGGCTGTAGGTGAGATTGTCTTGGAGGCGACTCGTATTGTATTCTCCGCAGGTCCTCCGGCCAATGAGCTCGTCTTGGGCGTCACAATGAGGCGTTCAGGTTGTGTGACGAGCGAGTGCGAAGCAATAGTACGTGCGGCGACGACGGGGACATGGAATGGGTGGTCGATACGCAAGCCGTCTGGTTTGGCGCAAGCCCAGGAAGCGGCAGCAAGGGCCTAAGCCCTCCCTTGAGAGTGCGGCGTCCGAGTCCAATGGGAAGCACGCTGGCAAGGCTCGAGGGCTCTGCAGGTTATATCGAGACGCTGCCTCTCTCGTCGCCGATGTAATGTGAGGGCCCGGTCGCAGTCTGGATGTGGACTTGGTCGATTGATCTACGTATGTCGCGTGTAAACGCTGCGTCGACGATGGGCACCTTTTCGGGGGTCTAGGCCGAAGAATGGGTTCGGGTGGGCGCCGATGACTGTTCAGTCTGGGTGAGGGCAGAACCGGCAACGTCACAGTTCACTGGGGGGTGGTCGCCTGAATGGTAGAGCCGCGGAGGTCTCTAGTCTCGCAACGGAAGCAGAGGATGGGATGTGCAGAAAGCGAAATCGGGGCTTGGGACATGTGAGTTCTCACACGAGCCGATCGCTCAACGACTTTGAAAAGGAAGTGTAAGAGGCTAAAAAAGCCCAGACCACCCGCGGCCGATGTACATCAGAAGCAACCTGCTGCAGCTGCTGCTTACCTACATTGACCAGCAGCGGCCCAGGAAGGCGCCAACTGAACTGTGCGTGCAGGCATGAACGACCCAATGGCCACCGACCTCGACCAGCCCCAGCGCCAAGCTTTTGCTGCGGGGCTTTCACCGGTTTGGGGTGGGCTTGGGGAGGCGACAGAGAGGGTGCCCATTGGCCCGAGCCGGTCCTCCAGGTAGACAGGACATGCCCACACGAGCAAGGCCACACCGAGCTGGAGGTAGCCGAGACCAGACCCCTCATCAGAACAGCGCAGCCCGCCTGGCCCCGCCGGATGTGTTGTGCTGTGCTGGACAGACACTGCGACTAGCAGCGAATAGCAGACTCCGGCGCATGGATGCGCGATGCACCAATTGACCCAGCCAGGCCGACGTGATTCTCGCTAATGTAGGGACAGAGGGAAGCTCCGTGCTAGCCAGTTGACGCGACCATGCCCGGCAGATCTGGTCGTGGCCATGTCCAACATCCCATCTGCAGAACCGTTGCGATCCCGCCGCGAGTCTGTCCCGGGCCGGCGGTGAGAAAAATTCAGACCATCCCAGACGAAGCAAGAACATGGGCAGTCGCCATTATGCTCCGCTTCGACCGAATTGATGGGCAAAAGCCTTTCCTGCCCCCACACTCGCGGCCTTCCCCTTGTTTTGTTTCCTACGTGCAACTGATTGGCTGCACTTGCGCCATCGGCTGGAGACGGGAGGCGGCGATGTACGTGCGAAATATTAGACAATTATTAGACATGGGGCTGAAATGGGCAGAAGAAAAAGTTGTCATCATGTGCAGGGCTGTATTGCCTCTGACTTGCAGGCATGTGCATGCGTATTCGTATGTGAGGTTATTTTAGGGAATAGATTGCCATCTTGCTTTGGTCTGTGATAACCGAGGTGCCGGCCGCAAAGTGCAAAATACACACATCCATCGCAATTGATGCAATCCAAGCAAAGGACATGCCTCAGCTGTTTCAAACTTTTCCCAGCCACCAGTGAGCTGGCGCCGTCGGTCTCCTCCTGCATAACCCCCTGCAAGCCCATCCCCCCAAGGCTGGCTGTGATGAGAATCATGTCATGTGAGGGTGCGTGCACGGACGTCCATCGCCGCGCAGTCCCATCTCCATCTCCATCTCTCCATGTACGAGCGATCATGTCACGGAATACCCAATCCAGTGGTCTGGGAAAGAGGGGCTAAAATGGCGGGGTGGGAACTATCCACGTCCGCCCCCAGAGCTAAGGCAGCTCCAGCTCGCTAACATGCATCTCCTCACCTACAAACATACCAACGTTAGGCAGAGGCTGGTGTAGAGTAGCAACGGACGGCGTGCTCTTGAAAAGCTCCATTACCATTAACGACTAGGTCCATCTCGACAGCTGTGCGGCATTGCAGGCTGGCTGCAGGCCGTGTCACCTCACCCCCAGCCCGTTCTCCTGCCCGTCATCAGCCTGGCCTCTCACCATCGGGCTGTCGTCCCCTGGTGTGGTGCCTCGGGCTCAGCCTCGGCGCACTGTGCCGAGTACTCAATCTCAACATCGAGATCTTTGCACATGGCTCGCGCTGTGCTTCCCCAGGGCTGACCGGTGCAAATCCGCCTCAGGCTTTAGCTGGGATATCACACACAGCAGCGCAATGGCAGCTGCTTGCTCATGCAACCGCACGCCCGTCCACACCCACTTCACCCAGCCCTTTTGCCCTCTTCCCCCCTCCACCTCCTCTCCTTCTCTCCGGTAAGGATTGCAAAGTCCTCGGCATGACTTTCCTATCCCCTCGTATCTCCAAGCTGGTCCTACTCGCCTTGGCCCAGTGTGGTGTCTGGGCCGACGAGGTGGCGTCCCTTTTGTAACAGATCAGCGGACGCTCTCCGCCGCTGGATCTGGTCTATTGCTCCTCTCCTGCAGATGCGGGCTTGGGCCTGGAATCCCAGCTTACGACTTGGCGTAGCGACTCCTGCGTCGAAGCCTCTTGCCGTACTTGAAGAAGATGTACGGGAACGGCAGCATTGCCACGGTGAGAAAGGCGAGCAGCGAGGTGGCCCAGTGATTGCCCAGGGCCACGTACATTTGGTTTCCAAACAAGGGGAATGCAGCTAATGGACGGACGACTCAGATCAGCTTCCCCCACTCTGAAGCCAGTGGTGTGCGCCTCACCACAAGATGGGAACACTCACCTGCAAAAGTACATCGTACAAAGGCATTGGCAGCCAGTGCGCTTGCGGCAGATTGGGGGTATGCGTCCACCTATCACGACGTGGTCAGCACTAGAATTCGGAAAGTGAACGATGCCGAGGAACTCTGGACAGAGATGTCCCCAGAGCGAGTGAGGAACAAGGGGAGTACTTACAAGAAAGGTGAAGATCCCTGTAAACACCAAGATGACTCTATTCCCACGGATTCTTGCAGTCAGCCATCAATGCTCTCTCTTTCCGCGTCGATTTCTGTGCAAGGGCTGGGGGTGTAAGAGGGCATGACAGTAGAATACAAAGTGCAATGACAAAGGCCTGACTAACGGCTCCTCGTGTAAGTCAGACGCCATGCAGTTCTGCCCAAAGCTGCCTGTCCAATAGATTGGATCTTGCTTGAAGGATTACACACGGCACACACGAGGATCGCCGCACTGATACACACTCATACACACCGAGCGCCTCCACGATCTCCCCACACCCCCAAGGTGCATCCATATGCCGTGTAAGAGAAATGTTGGGATTGGGGGAAACAGAGAGCCATTTGCTCCTTTTTTTCGGTACTCACCCGGTTCCAAAAATGGCCGATCCAATAATGGGGACGATCCAATGCACCCACGGATAGGCAGACCACCCAAACATGAAGATCCCGGCGGGCACGAGGAGCGCACCGGCGATAGCAGGTGGCAAGCGGAATTCAGGCTCGCTCGCCCCCTGGACGCCCGTCTCCGCTTCGAGCCTGCGCATGAGCCTGCTCCTGACGCGGTGCCACACGGGGTCAGTGCCTATACCAACCAGCAAACCGGCTCCTATCCCCATGAACGACAGGCCGATTTGCCACAGGTTGAACTGGTAGATGGTCCCGAAGACAAGGGGGAAGGCGCCAAAGAAGAGGTAGAGGATTCCGAGGAGGATGGCCGAGTAGATGCAGAGGCTCAGCACCATGAATTCGAATATCAATAACTGGAAGGGTCGGAGCAGTGATCGGCCGACGGCTGTTAGGACCGACTTCTTCGTCCTCTCCGTCGGTGCAACCCAGCGCTCGTCATTGGTCTTCTTTCGAAGCATCTGCGCCTTCTTCTTTAGGATAATGGGGTCTATTGATAATAGAGGTCAGTAAGTGTCGCATCTTGGTGATATTGTCCCACCGTGATTCGGAAAGCCTTCAAAGAAAGAGGGGTAAGACCTACGGTATGTCTCAGGGCACAGAAATACGATGGCCAATAATAAGACGAACCCCCATATCAATAGAACGTAGTATGTCCAACGCCAGTGCGTGTTGTAATTGATGAAGCCACCGATCAATGGCCCAACACAGGGACCCAGGAACGGCGCGATGGAAAAGACGGCCATGGGGACCTGGAGCTGTTCTCTAGTAAACAAATCGCCGACTGTGCCTCCAGAGACAGCCAGGAACGTACTCCCGGCGAAGCCATCCAAGAAACGGCCAACAATCATGGTTGCAATGTTCTTGGCCACGGCTTGTGGGATGATCCAGATGACATAGAGAGACCATGCGACCAAGTAGATGGGCCGCCGGCCATAGAACTCACTCAGAGGACTGAAGAACATGGGCCCCAAAGCGATGCCCAGAACAAACGTCGATAGACCCAGGACCGAGACGATTCTCGAGTTGCCGAATTCCGCCTCCATCTGCTGGTATGTCGATGTGTATATCGAACTGGCGCTTGTCCTATTGCTTGGTCAGTACATGTACTCAATTGTACCAAATATACTGGCACAACAAGAATCACTGGTTAACCGCATGTCCGTGAACTCGAAGCAACTTACACGCAGAAACTCGCGCTAGACACAATGGATACTATCAACCACTTGCGCGCTACATTAAAGCTGCGAGGACACAGGGGATCATTGTCACCTCCATCCCACCCAACCAAAAAGGAGTCGTCTTCATCATTACCTGGGCTGTTTGCGGCGGGTTCATCCTTCTCGGAGGTATCATCAGAGACCCCATATCCATTCTGTGAACGCACCCGGGTGATTGAATGAGACGCCGTGCTCTGCTGCGACGTCGGCCTTGAAAGCTGCGCCCCTTTTACTGAGCGGATTGGCGCGAACTCAACCTCTGTGTTGCTGTTGCGCGCTTCGTCCGATAGCGAATTCCTGGAGCTAGGGACTCCCTTCTCTGTATCATTCTCCATTGTCGCTAGTTTAATCTCTGGGGTCTCCCCAAAGTCGCGACGGTTGATGGAGAGAAATCTTGGTCAATGATTGAGAGACTCGCAACTCCTATTCCTGATGATTGTGATATCTGGTGATTCGATGCTGGCTGGGCCTAAGGATTAAAAGCCTGGTGGGAGAATATATCATCACACTGCAGCTGGGAGCAAAGTTGACCTGTCACCTCATTGGGCTGGACTCGGGAGCATCGCAGAGATATATCTACAAAGACCCAGTGAAATGCTGACATTTACCATTCTTGAACGAGGGACAGTTGACATATCACGTCTGTAGACGACATTAAAAAAAATCCAGTGATAACACCCTGCGTCATACCCCTGTTCGGACTTATTATCTATGGGACGAGGTCGGAGGCGCGAAGAGCGAGGACCCATCTCCAATCTTTTCCAGGCTAGTCGTAATGCCTGTTCATTGTACTTACCAAGCCAGTTTTACTCAGCGTTTGCCTCATCTGGCAATTTGCGAACTGCGGAAAGTGAGTCTACCCGGTCTAAGGATCATCACTCACGATGCTACTCGTCGGTGGAACAGCTCGCCCCTGCATTCGAGATGGAATCTTCGGCGTGACTCAAATTCACGATAGAACTGTACCGAAACCGGATCAAGTACTTGTTATTTTTTTGTAGTTATCTCGAGATCGAACCCGTCATTCATTTGGCGGAAATAAACCGGCGGGGACTTGACAACTTCCCCGTTCGCTCCGTGTAACTAAAGCCATGGATCTATCGGCACGGCTCCGTGATTCCGGGTCTGTGTTACATGAGGATTAATAAAGGGCAAATGGTATTATTCAGCCGTGCAAGTAGCCTTGTCGCCGTTCGAGTCTATCATACTGCCGTATTTCCGTCCAACTGACGTCTTGATCATGTTGCATGCCCAAATGAAACATCGTCTTTGGCATCACCCTAGAGACAAGAAAAGACGAAACGTGTGGGCCATAGGACTTCAATTTAACAACGTATATGAAAACAGCGCCATGATATTCGCATTACTCTATCTTGCTTAAACAAAAAATGCCCCAAATGGGTATATCCAATCACATGCAACTATCGTCCAGTGCCTTCTAATCTATACTCGAACTCCAAACCGCTGCGTGTGCAATACAAATCATGTCTAACTCCGTAAATCCTCCCAAAGCATCTCTTCTCCTCGTAAACTCACTTGCCGCCGAAATCCGGAACGGTCGTATCGCAATTGAAATCACGCTTGTACGCCTTCGCAGGCATGATGCCGGCCTTGAGCGCCAGCTCGTAGCTCCAGAGCACGGTGCTCTCCGTCTTCCAAGTCCAGTACCACCAGCCCCAGCCCTTCTCGAAGCTGTGCATCTGCGCCTCCGCAAACATCTGGAGGAATTTCTTGTAGTCGTTGCTCCACTTGGCCGAGCCCGCGTTGGACTCGTAGCACGAGCATGACTTGTTCTTGGTCGGGCATTTGGGCCCGTCAACACTGGCCAGTGTTCCCTCCCAGCGAGTTCCCTGCCCAACACCGTTGAGATTTGGGGCGCAGTCCGTATCGGACTGTGACCATTCGGCGAAGAGCGTTGGCCCGTAACCCGTGGAGGTGTTCATGCTGATCTCCGTTTGTTCGGTCCATCCGTCGCAGGCGTACTGGACCTTCTTTTGGCGGGTGAAGGCGAGCTGGTCATTGTTAAACAGCACATACTGGTGAACGTCGAGGACCAGGTCACTGTTGCCAGTCATTTTTCCTTGCCAGTTTTCCAACCCCATGAATCCATCACCGAAGATGACCAGTGCCTTGATGCCGTTGGCGCGAACCAGCTTGTATGCTTTCTCTGTCCACTGGATCACCGAGTTTGTATCAAGTTCCACCATCCTGGGCTCATTGGCCAAGCCGTAGTGGGTGATGATATTCTTGTATCGATCCTGGGCGAAGAATTTGGACAACTTGTCGTGCATATCGAGAGATCGCTGCCCATTCAAGGCGCCATCAGTGCCATTGAGCCATCCTATGGCCCCGAACCTGCCACTGTGGTTCCACCCATTCTGACTCCCAGGCAAGCCGTGAACATCGAGATTCACCCGGAGGCCATACTTGCGCGCGTACTCGATTCCCCGAAGGAGGTATCGCCAGGATATCCGGAAGACGTAAGGGTCGCCATCGTTTAATTGGACGGCCCAGTAGCCAAATGGAATGCGGACATGATCAAAACCTGCGTCAGCAATCTCCCGAAAGGTGGACTCAGTGATGAAAGTGTTATAGTGTTTCTCCATCTCCTTCTCAGCTGAAGAACCATAATGCTGGCAGAGGGTCCATTCATCAATGATACCCATCGAGCTGTCATAATTGAACAACGAGGGTGTAATGAACGGCTCCAAATTCAGCCATCCGCCAACGTTGACTCCCCTGGCTGGTCGGTCGGCGTAACTTCCCCAGTCCTCATTCAATGCTGGGACGTTCTCGTTTGCTTTCTTAGAATCGTCCCACTTAGAATTGAGGCCCATGACAGGTAGGTCTCCCACCATCTCATCGGTAAATGTCGTGTTGAAGTCTTGCGTGGTTTGCCAGTACCAAGGGTCCAAATAAGTGTTCTTCCACTTGTCCGGCACCGTGTCACGGTCCTTGTCGTTCAGACCTGAACTTGAACTCGAGCTCCCTCCATCTTCCGAGTTCTTGTTCTTCTGGCTCACCACCACGGCAACAACAATGATAATGATGAGCAAAACAACGCTACACCCGATAATGATCCCTGGGAGAATAAGTTAGTTAAAGGTATCGCTTCCAGCGAGTAAAGACCGCGCGTACATAGCTTCTTCTTCTTTTTCTTTTTCTTGTCTTCCTTGGGTTGCTTTTTGAGGTAGTAATCCTGCTTCTCGAAGCTCTGATCGCTCCAGCGCCAGTCATCTTTCCCACTTCCTCCTCTTAGACCCTGAGATCTGCCCTCTTCCATGACAGCACCACTGACCACTCGCTTTTTCTTCTTTTTCTTCTCCCTTTTTCTGTCCTCATCTCGATCTTCATCGAGTGTTCGACGGGGCTCTGGTTCGAGGGGCGAATAGTCAGCTCTCCGGGCCTTCTTCTTCCGGTCCGAACGCTCCCCATGCCGTTTCTGCCGAGCATTCTCCTTGTCTAGCTGCGACAGCGCATCTGTCGATAGTGCTCTCGACCGACGTTCCTGTCGCCTCGCCTCTTTTGCCTCTCTTGCCGCTCTCGCCTCCCGTCTCGCCTCCCGTCTCTCCTCCCGGCTCTCCTCGGATTCTGTCTCCCGCGGCCGGCTCTCGGATTTCCTTCTCCTATGTTCTCTCCTTCTCTCCGATTCATCTCTGTGTTGGCGCGAATGGCTCGCCCGCCGCGTTGATTCCCGGGGCATTGTGTCGTCGTCACCGCCGGTTCGTGGTGGAAGCGCTTCGGTCGGAGGATGAGGAGGGAGAAATGTCTCAGACCATGGCGTCCAAAACAGCCAAAGCTCCTGGCATTACGACGACCGTTTAATTCAAAATAACGGGCTATAGCAGTGGAGTGGTAACGTCACTAGCCCCCGAATAGTCTCGTATTGCCTTGGCTTGGAGCGACTTGGCTGTGGGGCGGTTGTTGGCACAGCAACAATCTTATCGCGGGCGCCGCGGACAGAAAGGCTGGATGCGGTTCAATCGCGGCCGTGACGTACCGGCGCAAGCCGAGCCATGGCATTCTCACACCTAGGCCAAACGGCCGCCACTACGGCTTAATGTCTAGGATTAAGTAGCCTTTGGAGTTTATCGTGACTGTTTCTCCTCACCATCTCCGTGTCTCTATTTCTCGAGTGCATGTCTGGCCACCGTATTTCAACAAACGCCTCGTGATCCCCTAACATTGAACATTGAACACATCCTCCCCAACATGAGCTCGGCAGCCCTCCGCTCTTGTAGAAGAGCACTGGCGCTCCCGCGCGCTGCCTTTCTCTCTGCCGCGAGGACTTACTCTACACACCCGCCCAACGCCAGGTTCAATCTACCGATCGACTATGGCTCTACTCCTCTTCTAAAACACACATCCCAGGACGCTTTAAGAAATCCAGAGTTGCCAGAAGATATTCGGAATGGCCCAACCAAGAAGATGAACCTCTTCCAGTCGATCGGTGACGCCTTGTCCATCGCATTAGCCACCGACGACTCTGTTCTTATTTTCGGAGAAGACGTCGCCTTTGGAGGAGTTTTCAGATGCACGATGAAGCTGGCTGAAACCTACGGAACAGATAGGGTCTTCAACACGCCGCTGAACGAGGGAGCCATCGTTGGTTTTGGCGTGGGGCTGGCAGCATCGGGCATGCGTCCCGTCGCCGAGATCCAGTTCGCCGACTACGTTTTCCCAGCTTTTGACCAGATCGTCAACGAGGCTGCCAAATACCGTTATCGTGACGGTGCCAATGGCAGAAGCGCCGGCAGTCTCACCATCCGCATGCCATGCGGCGGCGTCGGCCACGGCGCTCTGTACCACTCACAGTCACCCGAAGCGCTCTTTACCCACGTCCCGGGCCTTCGCGTGGTCACGCCCAGGTCGCCTCTGCAAGCCAAGGGTCTTCTCCTCTCGGCCATCAGAAGCAACGATCCGGTAATTTTCATGGAGCCCAAGATCCTGTACCGTGCGGCCGTTGAGCAAGTGCCCGTCGGCCCCTACGAGCTGCCGCTGTCCAAGGCCGAGGTGGTCAAGGAAGGCAAGGATCTCACCATCCTCTCATACGGACAGCCCATCTATACATGCCAACAGGCGATCCAACGGGCCGAAGAAGATCTAGGAGTCTCGATAGAGTTGATTGACCTGCGGACGGTGTATCCTTGGGATAAGGAGACTGTACTGAACAGCGTGCGCAAGACGGGACGCATCATTGTTGTGCATGAGGCGATGGTGAACGCTGGTGTCGGAGCGGAAGTGGCAGCCACGATCCAAGAGGACCCCGAGACCTTCGTCCGACTTGAGGCGCCAGTTACCAGAGTGGCGGGCTGGAGCATCAACAACCCATTGCTCTATGAGAAGTTCTCCATCCCCGATGTCACACGTGAGTTGATCCTGCACATTGATGGCCCCCCACCCTTCCTCCCACTTTTGATCTCTTTGCTGACATCTCACCTCGCATTTTGTAGGAGTATATGACAGTATAAAGGACGTTTTAGACTACTAGGTTGGCGCAAGGCGAGCGAGGGTCTGCATGGTTATTCATTAAAGCGATCGGTAAAACAGAGGGTCCAAACCAATACAGCGGCCATTTTAATCAAAGTTAAATCCATTCAAAGTAACATGAATACTTGAGGCAGTTGCCTGGGTGAATGTTTGAGGTTAGAATCACATCTTCATCGTGAGACAGGTGTTGTGAAGGAACGAAGCAGGCTTATTACGTAGGGGTGTTACCAGAGGTTCTGCCCCTCCACCAAAGAGGTGCCCCGCCCTCCCCTTAGCCGGCATCATATGAGATCTCCACACCTTGTCAGAACACTCCGCTGCAGCCTCCGCACCTACATCTGGAGCTGCACAGCACGCCGTGCATTCCGCCCGATCACCGCAATCCTAAACCTACTGCTGCCGCCGACATGTCGCATCTCGAGGCAGTGTCCGCCTTCGTCGAGGGAGCTCCCCCGGGAGAGGTGTGTGGCCAACCCCGCCCCTTGTTTACAACCCATTGGATAGCTTGAGCCCAGGAGCTAACATTACGCAGCTGAGCGATGTCGTGGCTGGTATTTAGCCCATCCTTGATCTCGACCGGCGATCATAAACTTGATGCTGATTTACTCTTCGCGCACAGATATCAAGTCACTCACACTCTCCGAGCCGCAACTCGTCGCACAGCTGGCACCCGCCTTTGAGAAGTACAATGAGGAGCAGTTCGCCACTGTGAAGCTCCCCGGGAGCAGCCAGGCGGTATGTGGTTGGAATCAAGGGGATTGGGACTGGAAGTAGAAGGCTAGAAAGCTAATGGTTCTGCCGCACGCAGGTTATCATTAGCTCCCACAACTCCCTCGGCGACGGACGATATTACGATGTCGAGAGCTCCTCAAGCTTCGCTTTCAACCACGAGACTCAGGTATGGGGATTCTTTCGGCGGACAAGTGGTCAGAACTTCCCGTGCCAGACTCTAACAACGCCATAGACCGCCAGCGCTGTGCAAAGCCATGTTATCGAAGGTGCCCAGGCAGACTTGGTGTAGGTTCTCAAAATATTGCTCGCTGGGATCCCGCCATGATAGGAACACCTTTCAATTAACCGGCCTTTGGATAGAAAATCGACTTTGAAACTTGTGGGAAGCTACGTCAAGGAGCACTTCGCCAACGCCGCTTATGGTGTCTACCCCATCGAATCCGACTCCAAGGTCGCCATTGTTATTGTTGCAAACAAATACAGTCCAAACAACTTCTGGTAAGCGCAACCTGGTCACGGGAGGGTGGATTCCCAATCTTTTGAAGAACGAGGCTGATATGGAGACAAATCAAAAGGAACGGACGTTGGAGATCCCTCTATATCTTCGACCCCGCCTCGAGTAGCCTCGAGGGCTCCATCAAGGTCGACGTTCACTACTACGAAGACGGAAACGTAAGGTTGCTCACAGACAAGCCAGTGACGGCCAGCGTGTCGTCAGGAACGGGATCCGGCATTGCCAAGGAGATCTCAACTACGGAGAAAAAGTATCAGGACGAGCTAAACAAGGGGTTTGTAAGCTTAAGCGAGGGTGCCTTCAAGGGCCTTCGGCGGCAGCTTCCTGTCACGAGGCAAAAGATCGAGTGGGACAAGGTGACCGGCTACCGACTTGGTCAGGACATCAGCGGCGGAAACGGAAAGAGGTAGGCGATTTGTCGTCCTAGCTGCAAAGGAATTCTTTGCGAATCGCCGAACGTTTTGTGGAGGCTCACTCCTAGCGGCGGGGGAAAGGAGGGGGGGCAGAAGCATACATACACAATACTCTAGATAAACTGCATGGAACATGAGGAATGAGAGATTCTGCGTTTATTTCTATGTCGGTCATCATGCGGAGGAAGCATGAGTTCGTCTGTATGAATCGGCGATACTGTGAACCCTTTCGAAGACTTTCGCCGAGCTTCCTGCCTGCTATATATGTGCCTGCTAAACTGCATACGGAAATTTCTAGAGATTCCGGATACCTTGCATGCAATGCTACTACCAACGCAGCTCTGGATGCTTCCTCTCCCACTCAATCAAAAGGATCTGCTTGCTAGCCCAGAGATGCGGAGGTCAGCTAGCAAACTGTGGGCCTCGGCTGCCAGCGCACCTTCTACCCTATTAATCTGTAGGGGGTAACAAATCCCGACCCGCTGCTGAAGCCCCTCCGGAACCCACCCGTCGTGTTCGGATTCAAGGTTGGGACCTCTGCCCTTGATATTGGCGAGCTACGAGTACACGACCCGGACCAATATAGAGAAGGTGGAACGGACGGACAGGCATTAGACGTAGGATGGTCATGGTGATTAAGTACGAATCAGCTTATTACTGAAATGAACGGTGAGGTCGACGTCCGGTTACAGCCGAAGGTGGTCAAGGGGATTCGAATGGCCTTTTATTCGCCGGAATCAGAACGACCACATTGCGGCCGGGCGTCTGATCCCGAGCCCGAGTCCGAGATGTACTCAATTCCATTCTGGCAATGCTATGCTATCGCTGGGGGACAGGAGCGGATGAACCGCGCTGGTTGTGAGAGCCGGGGTATTTTTTCCTGTCTTGTAATTAATCCGCGGTACAGAGCGCGGGCTAAACCAATTGGTACGGTGGTACTTGTCAACCACCAAGGAAGCAGAAGGAAAGGAAATTTATACTGCCCTGGCTCTAGCGCCAGTACCCATTGGGTAAGGTAGGGACGCCGTGGCGGTGAGCCAGCGAATCAGGGTCCAAGCAGTAAACTCCCGAGATGTGATTGGGCCAGAGGCTGCTCGAAAACCCATCCGGGACGGAAGTAGGGGATGGCTGATGGCGCCAGGCCTTGCACCCGGCACCGTGGAAGAGATGCTAGCAAGATCCCTTTGAGCAAGCCAGGCCTGAAGCCTTGCCAGCTAAATCTTCCTGACACGATAACCACTTTCTATTTCAACGCTGCCCGTCCCTCTTTCATCTCCCCCACCCCCCTCCCTCTCTCGAAAACACCACCTCGCCTTCGTCTTCGCT